CAGTCCAAGATGATTGCATGGACAAAGCTCCTAAAAATGCGTTGCTCCCGTCAGTCTCCGGTCTAAAATCAAACTGGCTAAGGGTGTGAAGATCTTGATACAACAAGCATCTCAAAGATGAAATCTGATGTTGATGCTTCCTGCTCAACGCGTCCACTACGATGTTCGCCTTCCCCGGATGATACTGAATTGTGAACTCGTAATCTTTAATAAACTTGACCCATCGCCACTATCTCTGGTTGAGTTCCTTCTAAAAAAAGAGACACTTTAGGCTCTAGTGATCCGTGAATAGCTCGAACTGCACTCTATAAAGATAGTGTCTCGTTGTCTTCAGTGTGAAGACCATTGCTACTAGCTCCAACTCTTGTGTTGGATAGTTCTGTTCATGCATCCTCAACTACCATGAAATGTAAGGCACAACTCTCTTGGTCTGCATCAAAATACCTCCTAGACCCGATAGCGATGCATTCGTGGAGACGATAAATGTCTTATCACTGCTTGGGATAATCAATATTGGCACTGTAGTCAACTTAGCCTTCAAGGTCTCAAAAGCTTTCTGGCACTCTATGCTCCAAACAAATTATATACCCTTCTTCATAAGATGTGTAAGTGGCATCACAATCTTTGAAAAGTTCTGAATGAACTTTCTATAATAGTCGGCCAAACCTAAGAACCTACTAATCTTTGTAATGGCCTTTGGTAGCTCCCAATCAAGTAGTACCTCAACTTTCAGTAGATTTAATGTAATGCACTCCTTGCTGATGACCGTGGTCCAAAAATCTAACCTTAGATAGCTAAAACTCGCACTTGCTAAAATTAGCGTACAACTGACGCTTCCGTAAAGTCTGCAATGCTAATCGAAGATGCTGCTCATGCTCTTCCTCCGATCTCGAATAGATAAGGATGTCGTCGATGAATATGATCACGAACTGGTCCAAATATGGATAAATAACCCGGTTTATTAAATCCATGAATACCATGGGTGCATTAGTCAGCCCAAATGACATGACAAAAAACTCAAAAGACTCATATCGAGTCAGAAAAGCGGTTTTGAGAATATCCATCTCCCGAACTCATAATGGATGATAGCCAGAATGAAGATCAATATTCGAGAAGTACTACGCTCCTGGCAACTGGTCGAATAAGTCATCAATCCTTGGTAGTGGATATATACCTGTTTCAGATGGTGACCTTATTCAACTCATGATAATCTATACATAAGTGCATACTACCATTCTTCTTCTTCACAAAGAGAATCGGCACTTCTCACGGAGAATGACTCTGGCGAATAAAACCCTAAGATAAAAGCTCGTCCAGTTGAGTCTGTAGCTCCCTCATCTCAGCAGGTGCTATACAATAGGGTGTTAGGGATATCGGTGCTGTGCCTGACTGCAACTCGATGTAGAACTCAATCTCTCTCACATGAGGTAATCCATGTATATCCTAAAAGACATCTTAATACTATGAGATGACTCTAGTCTCGCATAAATTAGCACTCTGATCCCTCAGCATCATCTCCTCGATGTATGTCAAGAATGACTCCGTAAACTGGTTGCCCTGTGAAGTTGCTACAGTCAACTCAGACCCATCAGACACTTGCAACCTGATTGTTTTAGCAAAATAGTCGATACTAACATGGTAGGATGATAGCCAATCCATAACGAGAATGACGCCAAAATCCGACATCCGCAAAATGACCAAATCAATGATAAATTTAGACTCATCTAGACTGATGACACATCTCCTATAGATACTCTCTAATACGGACACCTCGCCTAAATAAAAATAGACTGATAATAGGACATCTAAGGGATGTGTTACAAGCTGAAGCTTATCCATGAAGGTATGAGAAATAAAGGAATGCGAAGCTCCTGAATCGAAGAAGATTTGAGCTGGAAGGAGTTCACTATGAAAGTACCTTCTACTATAACTCCACTAGCACCATGGTCGTGTGGTGCGACTACATAAACCCTGCCAGTAGCTGAAGACTGTAGTGCTGAAGGTGGTGTGTGATGCCCCAGGGTTCACACAAGGCTGTAGTCTAAGGTGAATCCCAGAATGTCAAACCTACCATTCACCAACACCGTGCAACAACATGTTTCACCATCACAGTTACTATCTCTCTAGAAGAATCAACAAACAGGTGTAGGTACAAATATGCAAAGAATAGTGAAATAGTACAATGAACAAACTAAACACATAAGAAATATATAAATAACCATCATCAGGACCCAACTGAAATAAAATAAAATAAATCTGAATCTGAAATAAAATGTAATATGTCTCAACACAAGAGTCAAATCAAATCTCACTAAGGCAATCAGCCTCTACAAAATAGAATCACAATCTCTAGGGTCTGAAAATAGACAACTAAATGTGGAGTTTTGAAATAACTACAACTGTAAATAACTAGATGGAATCTAAGATGTAATCCTATCAACCTGCAAATCTCCATGCGCCGAACTCACTGCCTAAAAGGGGGGAAAACAACGAGCATCAAAGCGCTAGAGATCATCTCCACCATCCCCAAGGGAAGGGGTAGGAGTATATAAGAAAATACTGTTAGTACATATAGCTATTAAAATCATTAATATAACTCTAAATGGAGATTGGTATTTAGAAACCCACAACACAAGAATTAGTATGTCGAGCAAAATAATCCAAATAAGGAAAATCCTTATGTATATACCATGTCTCAAATTGTGAATCATTAAATACCAATTCTGATCCTATGAATAAAAATAGTACAAATAAAATACTCCAAACCACTACCAAAATGAACCAAGGTCACATCTCGAACTACCCTCGGGTAGTTGGCATAGTCTTAAGGAAATATCAACCAGCTCAAAATCACCATAAGCCATATCATGTATGTCATATATCCAAAATATACCCCACACTTGGGTAATCTTACATGGGAGCAAACTATAACTGTGTGAATATGTCTTATCACATAACAATACTTTTGTAAGGTTCTCACATTCGCATGTGGATTCAACGTCCCTACTCAATTGTTTTGTGGCAATAGGTTTTATCTCCCCTATTCTGGATGATGCATCCAGATAATCGCACCACGGAATAAAGGCATATCTGCCCAATCCGGAAACACATCGATCATCTTCGAGTATTAGTACCATCAAGGTCTCATTATGGGATAACATCCATATATTTATGGTACAACCGAGGTCTCATTACGGGATAACGTCCACACCAAAACATCCCAAACATATAGGCATGCATTATCATGTGTTATACCAACACCTATCAACTCAAACATGTATTATGCATCTTGACTATGCATGTTAATTCAAATAAACTATGTGTCTGTGCACGTATGTCGATATCTGGTGCTCATAAACACCTCAGGTGTTAAACATGTCATAAACATCATATTACATCTCAATAGATCGAGAAAATCCCTCAAAAATTTCAAACATGAGTCGAAACATGCACAGGCTTCTAGCTGACTGGTGGTCGATCATGCTTAAGAGGCGATCGATAGGACCACGTTCAGCAGTTGCTCAGGCTTCTGCCTGGCAGGCGGTCGACCGCACGTATGCGGCGGTCGACTGGACCGCAAACAGCAGCCTGCTCTGCAGGTTTGTGATTTGCGTGTTTGTGCGTGTTTTCCATAATCTAACTTGTTTAATTCATCATAAAACATGTGTAGAACATTGTAAACATCAGATTAACATCTCTGGAGATCATTAAACACATGAATCATGATTAATTGCATAAGATGTCATGGACAAACCCTAAACATGCACGAAAACATCGATACGTCGATAAAAACATCAAAACTCAGTTAAACCACGCTGTTATTTACTTTCAGATCTTAAAACATATTTGGAAATTTGTTCTTAATCTTTTAAACATAGAAATATCTGATATTTATTCATATAATATAAAAGGATTGCTTTTATACTCTAATTAGTCGATTAGGCTCAACAAAATCATATTAAAACTCATTAAAAACATTTAAAAACTTGGGAGTAGGGTTAGCAAAGATGAAACTCATTTTAGACTTGTTATAAAACATGCAAGATGCAATGCCAAGGTAGATCCTTGAGCTACATGCCCAAAACAAACCGAAATCTCGCTCCGAAAGCTCTTAAACACGCTCAAAAGAGATCTAGGGTTTAGGAGAGGGTTCGGTGGCTGCTAGGGTTTTTAGAATACTAAAAAAATATGTAAAAACTTATGATCATGATATATATATATGGTAGAGAAACCGACCTGGGCCTGAAAATACTCGAAATTAACACAAACCAGGAAACTAGGTTTTTGATCGGCGGTCGACCGGACCGCAGAGAAACATATATGCAGGGATTTTGCCTTTGTGCATATTTTCGACTCATTTCTTTCTCATGTATGAACTTGTTTATACTCAAAACACTTGGTATCACGCTCATATACCAATTAATGATATTTATAATGATAAATATCCAACTATCATAATTAATCATATATTAATTCAATTTATCACTTATTTTCTCAAAATTTTATGGGATTTTACATTCACCGCCCCCCCCCCCAAAAAAAAATATAATTTTGTCATCGAAATTCCGCAATGGCATCATAAAGTTTAATAATACGAGTAAAGCACTAAGAGGGTATAATCCAGATAAGGAAACCCTACCGTACACATCTCGTACCATTAATTCCCAGATTTGAAACATAAGAAAACATTTAAACTTAATGATCTAAAATGCGTGCACTCTCATTTAACCCCTAACTAGACGGAACTAGTACGTCGGGCAAAAAATCCAAATAAGGAACCCCCCATATATATACCATGTGTTCCGAATGATTAGGAGCTAAGTGTTTAGTACCCCCATTTTAGTGTTAAATATAAATGTGGCTGAACAACATATATAAACATAGATGCATAAAAGAATACTCAAACATTAACATCTTACCTGCTCAAACAGGTGTGGGTAGTCACGACGTACGTCCTCCTCACTCTCCTAAGAAGCTTCTTTGGCTCCTTGCTGGTTTCACTAAACTTTCACTAATGAAATAACTTTGTTTCTAAACTTTTTAGCCTCTTTAGCAAGAATACAAATCAGAATCTCTACGGTAGTCAAATCATCTTGGATCTCAATCTCTAGTGCATCAATCACCCTTTGTTGCTCCTCGTCGCGTAAATGCTTCTTGAGCATCGAAACATGAAAGACATCGTGTACACTCAACATTGACGCATAAAGATCTAATCTATACGAAATAGCTCCAACATGCTCAATAAGCCTGAATGGACCGACATATCTCAGGGCAAGCTTTCCCCATCTACCGAATCGCTGAACACCCATCATCGGTGATACTTTCAACATGATAAGGTCTCCAACCTAAAACTATAGAGGTCGTCGCCTCTGATCCACATAGCTCTTTTGCTGACTCTGAGCAGCAAGAATACGTTCTATAATCAATGTCACCTTCTCTGTAGTTTGTCTCACAAGCTCCGGCCTAAGCAATAGGCTATCCTATAGCTCTGCCCAATAAATAGGCGATCTGCAAGGCCTCCCATACAATGCTTCATATAGTGCCATACCAATGGTAGCTTGGTAACTATTATTATAAGCGAATTCAATTAATGAGATGTGATCCTCCCAGCTACCCTAGAAATCTATAATGCATGCTCACAGCATATCCTCTAACACCTGATTCACTCACTTTGTCTGTGTAAAACCCCGATAATTTATGAATAATATAATTAATGTGTGATAAATTATGATATGTGGATATTTAGTATGATAAATATCATTAAATGGTATATAAGTATAATACCATGTGTTTTGAGTATGAACGAGTTCATACATGTGAGAGAAAAGAGTCAAAACATGCACAAATAGCCAAACATATGCGGAGCTGGAAAATTCCAGTCCGGTCGACCGCCACGGTCGACCGCAGTCCGGTCAACCGTCATGGTCGACTGCGAAACCTACCCCTTTTCCCTGTTTTGAGTTGGTTTCGAATTTCTAAACCCATATCCCTTTTCCCCTGATATATATATGAGTTTTTCACGTTTTTCTAAGTTTTCCTAAGAACCCTAACAGCCACCAAACCCCCAAACCTTAGTTTGATTTCTTGGAGATGGAGGCTTTCTAGTTGGGTTTTTTTTTGTTGATTTTCGGCTTTTGGAGTGGAGATCTCTTTCGACGTTACATCAAAACGTTTTTCCTACAACCCCAGGCGAGTATCATCTCTACTAATCCCCCTCCAAGTTTTAAAAATGTTTTTAACGAGATTTAAACATGTTTTGTAGAACCTAAACGAATAGATTCTGTATAAAAGACAACTCTTTTGTATTATATGTATAAAGATTAGGTCTTTTCATGGTAAAAAGGTTGAGAATGTTTTTACTAATGTGATTTAGATCTAATGATGATTTTAAAACGTGGTTAATCTAAAGAAAGAGTTTTTGATTCGTTGTTTTGAGCTTTTATGCATGTTTTAGGGTTTTGAATACAAATCTAATGCATAAAATTATGTTTATAATTGTTGAGTTGTTTCCAGATGTTCATATCTGCTGTGGCATGTTTGCATACAAATTTTACAAAGTTTTAGACATGTTCATATCGAGGAAACACAACATGATAACGATACATACAACCAGTTTGGAAAACTAGAATCAGGGTTCACGATCGACCGCCACGGTCGACCGTGTGCAGGTCAGAGACCTGGGTAGTCTCTAGAGCCCGTCGCAGTTGACCGTCACGGTCGACCGCCAGTTTGTTTTGGCTGTGCATGTTCAGTTGAGTTGGATTTTGGGTTTTTGAGTGTTCCTCTCGACTTTGTAATGATTAACTACAATGTTAAGACTTGATAAACATCTGGAATAATGGTGAACTTCAGATGTGGACACACACACCGAGATTTGTGCATATATGCTAGATTGTGTTAGATTGACACACTTTCGACACGAGTTAAGTTGATAAACACATATGAATAATGTTGTTCTATACGTATCCGGAAATAGGGAGATGAAACTTATTTGCCGCAGAACGATTGAGTAAGAGTATTATAATAGTATCGTTATTTTATGTATCCGGAATAGGAGAATAATAATCCTATTGCCACAGAGCGATTGAGTAACGAGCATTACAAAAGTATCGCTATAGCACAAGATGATGCACACATAGATAATTGATCGGTTGTGAGTTTTACTTCCATGATAGATTGCCCACGAGTAGGGTATTTCCTTTGAGATTTTGATACACCCGTTATGAACAATAGATATATTTGTTTTAGCAATTGTTGATATCCTCTTATATTAGAGCAGGTCACTCGAACATAGTTTGAGATGAGATGATTATTCTTTATGTTGGAGATTGGGGTATTTATCATTGATTACTTATTTTTCATTCAAAAAGAGTTATATGAATGATTTGATATATATATGTACTGACACTATTTTTCTATTTACTCCTACCCCTTCCACTGGGGAGAGGTAGTGATGATCTCGCTAGCGCTTTGACGCTCGTTGTTTTCCCCTCTTTTCAGGCAGCGAGTCCGACGCACGGAGAGTCATAGGTTGATGGGATATCTTAGTTATCCGCTTAGCTATTTATTATATTTAGTAGTTATTACAAAACTCCACATGTAGTTGATTATTTCTAGCTTCTAGATTTGTATTTTATTTCATAGAGTTGAGAGCTATTGTGAGACTATGGTTATTTGACTCATTGTATTTGAGATTCAGTTCAGACTTAGAGATATATCTTTTTCATTCCAGTTGGGCTCATTATTAATATATCTTATGCTTCTTCTGTGTATATTTTCAGTGTTGCTCTATTTTGATTATTTACTTGTCTGTACCTTCATCTATTTATTGTTTCCACTAGAGAGATAACGATTGTGATGGTGAAACATGTCGTAGCATGGTGTTTGGTACTTGGCAGGTTTGACAATCTGGGTTTCACTTGGGACTACAGCCTTGTGTGAACCTTGGGGCATCACAGTTGGTATCAGAGCTCTAGTTCTAATATCCTTAGGATCATTCCTGTGTCATATCGTGGAGTTAGGATAGAGCTTCCTAGGGATCATGTATACAGTCCGCTAGGAATCCCTAGTATGAGTGAGGGTGTATTATATATATGTATAGGGATCATGTATACAGTCCGCTAGGAATCCCTAGTATGAGTGAGGGTGTATTATATATATGTACGCAAAAAATCTACCAATTTTTTTTATGAACTATTTGATTGACTAATAAAGCATGATATGAGATATATGTGATACGATTTACTTATATGTTATATGCTTCATGCTTGAGATCCTATTTACTGCGTAATAATCTTTACTTTGGAATTATAGATATCAGGAAGAGGTCGTGAACACCGAGTTACTCATGCTCAAGAAGTTGAGTAGGAAGATAGGGAGCCCGACCACAGCAGGCTCCGCAATACTTAGTGGATCTCATAGCACCATTGGCAGCTCATATGGCGGCTATTGAGGAGCAGGTAGCAGCTCAGGTTCGTCAAGAGCCTTTCGTTCATGAAGAGACACCCGTTCAGGAGTCATCTATTCGGGAGGAAATACCAGAGAGGGTACCAGTGGTCCCACCGATACCACCATTTAATGACGGAGCAGCTGATCAGGAGGCTTAGCTTCTTTTAGTTAAGAGGTATCAAAAGTTGAAAGAACCAGAGTTCCACGGTTCAACGGATTCCATTATTGCACACAAGTAGAAAGAGGATATGAGTAACATCTTGGATATGCTGAATGTTAATTCGGTGCAGAAGCAGAGGGTAGCGGCTTTCAGCCTCAAGGGTAATGCAGAAGGATGGTATCGACTTCGTTTCACCCTAGAGCAAAGGATGACGGTTTCATGGGAGACCTTTATATATCTGTTTGATGAGCAGTATGTTTCAGCTATAGTGAAAGCCGGAAAAGAGTTAGAGCTGGCTCGGTTAGAGCAGGGAGATATGTTTGTCATGGACTTCGAGAGTAAGTTCATGTCATTTCTTAGATTCACAGGCATGTGGCACACAGAGGAGCGATAGGCTCAGATTTTTCTGATGGGACTTCGTCTAAGGTTGCGTCGGTATATAGTATCTCGGAGGTTCCGGTCAGTACGCGAGGTGGCAGATGCTGCCATGGCTCATGAGACGGATACAACCATATTCAACAAGGGCAAGGACAATGGTAAGTCAGGACAGTCCGAGGACAAAGGAAAAGGAAAGAGACCATTTGGAGGCTCAGGAGGACCCCAGCAGCAGGGTAAAGGTCCGCATCATCAGGGTCCTCACAAGAAGGGACCCCAGCAGCAGGGTAAAGGTCCGCATCATCACGGTCCTCACAAGAAGGGCCATCAGCAAGACCAGAGAGCGCAGCAGCAGCGCCGATTCCAGGGAACTTGTTATAATTATAACAAGATTAGGCACCAAGCAGCCGAGTTCCATAGTGCACCTGCAGTAGGCCAGCAGGGTAGGTTTCAGTAGCATCAGCAGAATCGTGCTCAGGGACGCGGTCAGGGCCAACAGCTGAGGATTGAGGCACCTCTAGCAGTTCCGAGGATAGAGGGATAGGTTTGAGCGATCCAGGAGATGTAGCAGAGGCAGGTGGCACCATTCACTCTAGGCGATGCAGAGCAGCAGACCGGTAGAGTGTATGCAGTGGTTCCTTATGATCATGGCCCGAGCGGAGCTGTGGTGGAAGGTACGTTCCGTGTGAACTCCTTTCCAGCACGTATACTTTTTAATTCTGGCGCTTCACATTCTTTTATCTCCTATGATTTTTTGATTAGACTTCGGCTTGTAGCTCAGCCGTTAGATTTCCTATTATCATTATTTACTTTGTTGGGAGAGATGTCTCAGAGAGTGTTTGTAGGAGATGCATCGTCAGCTTGGATGATTATGAGTTCGCGATTGATTTGATCATGTTGCATATGTTTGAATTCGATGTGATTCTTGGTATGGATTGGCTATCTTCCTACCATGTGAGTATTGACTGTTTTGCGAAAACAGTAAGTTTGAGAGCATATGATGGATCAGAGTTAGTGGTAGCTACCTTCAGAGGCAACCAGTTTGCGGAGTCATTTCTAGCGTACGTAGAGGAGGCGATATTACGGGATCAAAGCACAGATTTGAGTGAGATACGAGTAGTCTCAGATTACCAGGATGTCTTCCAGGACATACCAGGATTACCTCCAGTGAGAGAGGTCAAGTTTTGCATAAAGTTGCAGCTAGGTACCGCATCGATTTCTTGAGCTCCTTACCGTATGGCGCTTGATGAGATGAGGGAGCTACAGATCCAGATTGATGAGTTGTTATCTCAGGGCTTCATTCGATGGAGTCATTCTCCATGGGAA